TAGACCGAACTCCTTTTAACATTTACAGAGACCCAACAGTACCACCATGAGCAAGCACCACCATATACAGTTATATAGTACAGTCTGGATCTTTGGGATGAGTCCCTCCAAAGGGTCATAATTTCATCATTTTTGGATGTTTTTGGAAATAATGGATCATTTTACCTCTTTGGGCATTAAATAGTTATTTAAATAATAATAAATTCCTCTTTGGTGGAACTGCTAACAATTTTAAAATGTGAAACGCTGACTTAACCTGACACAGCCTTTTTGTGAGTGGTCAGAAGCCCAAAAAGTTGAAAAACACTGGTTTAAGAATGTGTTGTATTATATTTTTCTATTTATGTCAAATCTGAAAAGTAACTGTAGCTGTCAAATAAATGTGATGGAGTAAAAAGCCAAATATTTCCTCCTGAAATGTAATGGAGTAGAAATATAAAGTAGCATAAAATGGAAATATCTAAATTAGTAGTAACTCAAAATTGCACTTAAACTGCTTCTTTATTTATTTGACTTCATCACTTAAATTAATATTTCAAGTTATAATCACTTAGATGTTCCATGATTACAATCATGATTATAATCTAATAGTCCATGTGACACTTTAAATGAAACTATAATTCTTAATTGAGAATCTCTGTATTGTTAAAATCAGACTGGTCACAATATTTTTGTTTTTTTAATTAAATTCTATGAGCAAACATTTATCCCATGTGTGTCTACTGTGTACTGTTGAATATGAACAATGTAAAATGCAATGCAAATTCCTTGCATTAAAAGATGTTATTGTTAAATGCAATTACATATACAAACCTGTTTTTGAGCTGTTGGAAATGTCTTTACCAGTGGCCATTAGTGTACTTCCTGTATATGTGGCTTCTGCCAACGGATGAGTGACTCAATTATGAAAAAACAATGGCGATTATTTACTGCTGTTGCTCGGAAATGATGGGGAGGATGAAATGCAGTGGGCAATTAGAAGAAACTGAGGCCGCAATGCAATTTTACTGTAATATGAAGTTCTATGTGGGCTACAGAGGAGATGAAGTGACCACGTTTACTTTGTGGTGACGACTTAAGTGCCTGATCAATGGTATCAGTGGATGGAAATGTTTTACTACATGTAAACATAGGGTAACTACATTATATTGCATTTCTGGGTCTTCTTCAGCAGATATGCTACCTCTGTTACATCTGTAGGAATAGTCTATATGTACGTATGTACATAATTAGTGTGTAAATCCTTGTGAAGTCCCCTGAAGCAAACACCAGATGTTGGAGTAAGAGCTACACTTTTAATTGATGATTCTTTTTCTTTATTAACATGTCAGACGAATCCATTGCTAATCTGCAGAGCTGCCCGAAGAGAAGTGAATTAAATTGATTGACCACAGCTCACAGAGGTTGGAGTTTCTCATTGATCTCTCAGCTGGACAGAGTCATTCTGCTCACCTTAAAGGAGCAGCCCAGTTAGAACCTCTAAATGTAAATGCACAATACGGACAACATAACGTTTCCACAAAATTAACTTCCACAAAAACTGAGCTGCTGTTTTGACCTGAGACACAACTTGGATCAGTCACAGTCTACACTTTAGGAAGGCTGCTGCATGTCGACTAACCCGTCAATGGGATTTCCAATGAGAATTCTCCATAGTAATTTGCTCACCCAAAAATGTAATTTGTTGTTTGGCCTTGCGATGTGACTGAGGGCCTCAAACAATACAATTACAAGGTCTTTCTCAATCTCGCTCACACAGGATCACTCAAGGACACCTGGGACAGAGTCAAACAAGCTGCCCCCCAGCTGCGAAGAAGATAATTGCTTTCTTCAACAGAAGGGTTTCAACCTCCAAAACTTGCCGGATCTGAATGCCCTTCCGGGTAAAGACAAAGTCATCTGTGCCCATATCCCCTCATGGCAAGAGGAGCCTATGGCTTAAGGCATTATCTGCCCTCTTGGTCACATAACACTCTATGTTCTCCTAGCTTGTAAAGCAGGCTTTGTACACTCTTATGTGATGTAATTGAAACTATGGTGGAATTTCTTTTCTGTTTTAGTATTTTGTTGTTGCCTGCATACAGATATGTGCATCCATGTGTGTTTGTGTGTGTTTGGTTATGTTTAGACACGTGCCGTCACCCTTCATGTGGGCCCCCGGGGTTTGTCTTTAGTGAGTTGAGTGATGAACTTCAGCAGGGACGTGGCCCGACAGACCAGTTGTTATACGTATGTGATAGAGGATGAAGATTCAGCTCTGGCAAACCTTAATGTATTCGAGGTGAGGCTGTCACCGAACTGTATGAAAAACAAACATTTATTTATAATAAATAATTATTTTACATAGTACATGAACAAAAAAATAATTTTTAAGGTTTCCCTAAAAGTAAGTATTTACAATATGAGGAGTCTTTATGCAATACCCCACCATTAATCCCAACCCTGTGTAACCTTATAGAAAGTCATTGTGGACAGCTGGATAGAGACCTGAAGACAACTCTAGTGTTGTATAATAATGTTACGTGAGTCCGTAAACTGAACAGACATTATGTCATAGATATTATTGCAACCGAAACAAGACACTGATAGCTGTTAATACAAGTATTAATTCTCACTATGAAAACATCCAACAGGCTCTTCTATTATCTTCACTCTCCTTTCATTCTATATTAGTTGGCTGAGAAGGGTGACCTGGCTCTCCTGGAGAACCTGGTGAAGAAGAACCCAGAGGTCCTGAGTGAGAAAGATGAATGTGGAGCTAGTCCCCTCCATCATGCTGCCGCAGGGGGCTACATCACCCTTATCCAATTCATCACTACTGTCATAGACTCACAGGGTAGGCATGCCTCAGTCATCGATCATGAGTTGCACTTCAGCACAGGTAAAATATGTGTATTGTGCGTCACCATAATACTGTCTTTAGGTTACAGTATAAAACATGTTACATTACAGAGTACTGCGTCGGGTACTTATAAGAGTTGACTCTATTTACATGCATCTGTGAATGCATTTGTGTGTGTGTTTGTATTTGCATGTGTTCTCATATCCCCTCTCAGAGCTGAACAGCTCTGATGAACAGGGCAATGCGCCCCTACACTGGGCAGTGGAGAGGAACCAGGCAGAGAGCTGCAGGGCTCTACTGGACCTGGGGGCCAACCCCAACATCCTCAACATGGCCCTCATGTCCCCTCTGCACCTGGCTGTCAACCACGGACACAACAACCTGGTGGAGGTGAGGAAGCTGAAAGCGCCCAGCTGAAATAACAATTCATATGAAGTGCTCCAGTGTTTTTGTTTTTTCACGCTGATAACAAGGTCACTGCAGAGGCACTTGATTTATTTAGGCCCAAACAGCACACCGCATGCAGTGGTGAGTATTTTAGGAAAAAAATAGATAGTACGATTACACAACTTCATGCATAGATATTGATGAGTACTCTTTTCTTGTCAGTGGAGATTATGTAATCTCCATTGCACTGCACTGAAAAGCACCAATCTAAAGAATCAGTTACTCTTCACAACTAATACTTAATTATCTTTTGTAATGGAATATTGAACAATTTCTTTTAAAGGACTGTACAAGAATTGGGGTCGGGGGAGGAGAGGGCATCAGAGAAAGTGGAGGGAGTTGGAATTTTTATTTTTGTTGAAGGGAGTGGAGGGTTTCATCTCAATTTTATTTCTTATTTAACATTTGAGAGATTTATTATATGAGAAACGGATCAAATAGTTACATCAAGAAGATCATTTTATTGTGTGCGTTCTGCCATATAGAGAGGATGTTTTCATCATTTAATGTTTGCAATAAATATACTATTTTCAGATTTTAAGGGGAAGGCATTGCAGTGAATGAGAGGTTAGACCCTCTCATTCACTGCAATGCCACTGGAATGCGTTCCCAAACATTTCAATTCATTGCATTTTTTATCAAATAAAATAAGATTCGTAAGTAATTTTCCTACATTCCTTAAAGGTGTATATTCACATTAGCATATTGCTGCCACTATAGATTTTACTTCTTTTTTTGCACTTGAATATTACTTTTTCCAACCAAGCTTTAGTTGCTGTGATGGACAAAAAGGATAGTAGACAATCATATTATCACATCCCACCTTTTACAGTGCATGAACTTGCCACTCAGAGCAGCCACTGCACTCTAAACAACTGACAACTGTTTATATATCTGACAAAACCTGACTCAACCGTCTACTTGAAAAGACCTTGTCCCGTCGTCCCCATAGCATCTGGCTGTCGTCCACAGACTGACCCATACTGTGGGGGATAAGGACACAGCCATATATGTAAGAGAGTTGAGGACAGAAACAGGACAGAGCTCATTGTTAAGTTTTTACCTCTGCCCCCCTGCAGCTGCTGCTGTCCTACAGTGCTACAGACAAGAATCTACAGGGAGACCTTGGGAACACCCCGGTGATACTTGCCTGCTCCGTCAATAACTGTGAGGCTCTCAACATATTGGTATGTACAAGAGTAATGCGTTCAGACTCATGTATTCATTTAACTCCACTGTCTACCTGCACCAGCCTGTAAAGGATAACTGTCCAGCTGTACAGAACAGATTATGTAGCTGTTCTTTATACTGACTGTCAGCCCACTGCAGCTTCGTCTCTGACAAAGAATTATCTCTGTTTTTCTTTGTCTCCATCCATTTCCCTGTCTGTCAAAGCTAAAGCATGGAGCGAAGCTTTGCCAACAGAACAAGCTCGGCCATTTCCCCATCCACGCAGCTTCCTTTGCAGGTGCTAAGAAAGCCATGGAAGTGATCCTGAAGTTCGGTATGACAAAAAGAATAATCTGTCATCAAAAATTGAGAGCGCTAACAATAATGAAAACGTTTTTACAAGGCCAAACAGCACTTTAAACTGAGAGTTCACCTGAGCCCCCAGAGACGTTTAGCAGAAAAATGCTTTCGCTACTTTGTACACAGCAGGCCAGATGCCGCAGAGAGACAGTGTTTATTCACAGTGGGAGGTCTGTTTGGTAAATCTTGTGTTGTTGGAGGAAGGTTTAGCCAGAGCACAAAATATTTATGATATATCTGTGATTGCTGTTCGGGAATTTACACAGACAGCCCACCATGAATGGACACAATTACTCATTACTTCCTTCCACGCACAAAAAAACAGATCCCCTAAATGTGAAAGTCAAAGAAGGAAGGGACAAGATTGAGGCCCTGCAACTGAAATTCCCTTGAAGGCTTGTCAGCAATAAAAACAAATAAGCTTTTACCAACAAGCATTAACTAAGAAACCTTCATTATGAGCCATATATGTATTCAGTATATTATTCACAATTAAGAAAAAATGTTTTTTATTCTCTGCTGGCAGGAGAGGATTTTGGCCACCGAAGTGAATTACACATCAACTATTTAGACAAGTCCAGCAGCAGCCCCCTTCATCTGGCTGTACGTGGTGGGAATATGGAGGCCATCCGTCTCTGCATTGCTACTGGGGCCAAAGTTGACCAGCAACAGGTACTGACTGAGAAAAAAATATCATGTAAATCTTTACATTGGTTCATTTGTTTATCACCAATGATTTCTCAACCCCTCTGCATCACATCGTCATGAACATATTAATGCCTGGGAGCTACCGATTGGACATATTCACATCCATCTCCCATCTGTCCACTGTATGCTTTGCCAGATTTGCATTGTTTTTTTAATCTAGATCTCATTTGCCTACACCTGTAAAGCTGGCAAAGGGTGTCTGTACCGAACTGTTAGAGCATGTCAGTCTTATCATGCCCATCTGGGAGTGATCGTTATGTCTAGCCCTGGGGTAGTGGCCGAAGCTGCAGCAGGAATAGTGAGTACAGTAATAGCTCCGGTTGGCTAAATTGATACAAATTACCTCCACTTACACAGTGAAGCTGAGTGGAGCGATCACTGGCCTCCTCCTGCCAGTCCTGGTTATCTCATTAAAGGCTTGTGTTACAGCACCCAGTGTTCAGCCAGCAAGTCTGGGAGATCCTTGCTAATGTTACACTGTACAATATGTATGGGTGTAATTGAGTACATGTGGGAGCCTGTGTGCATGTTTATGTTCTGCTCTGTCTAACTCAGTATGTCACAGTGCCTCTGAGTGGAGCAGACATAATCATGCTTGAAGAGTTTGTGAATATTCATTATATTTTTTTATTATTCATTGCTCATAATGTATCCATGTTTGTTGCTATCCAGAATGACAGGTCCACACCGCTTCATTTGGCCTGCACCCAGGGTGCTACTGAGGTAGTCAAACTGATGCTGTCCTCCTTTGACCAAGTGGAAGACATCATTAACCTAACTGATGGGGCGTGTCAGACCCCTCTACACAGGTGGGCTTACCCTATCCCTCCACCCCAATTCAGAGAGTTTCTCAGACAACTTTCATTTTTTGTCTAATTTAAAGACTGAACTGACTTAAGTAAAGTCATAATCAACAATCAATCAACAATCCATTGTCATGGTTACTGTGTGCATTAACTTTCTGGTTGGCACAAGCCCCATGGCATCGTAGCACACTGTAGTGAGCTAGATTGATATTAAAATGTCATATTAATAAATTAGGTCTCTACTGGATTATTGTGTTGCAAAATGGTTGCAATTAATGAAAGAATAATGCTGTGTGTCTGTTTTACCATTTGTGAGTATAATTCTGTGACATTTTATTATTTACACCTACCTTAGGTGACAACCTGGTGCACCCACTTTTATTTTAGTAATGCATACATCACAACTGAATGATCATTTACGTTATAACTAGGCTTAGTATACACAGCTGACACAACAAGCAGCACGAGTTTAGAAATTACTTAATGAATTAATTTATCATTGACGTGAATAGGTGCCACCTGCACATTCAAAGAGGTTACTTCCCCAAACAAAAGACACAAAAGAGGACAGACCAGTAAATCATACCTATGTGTTGACTCAGCATGGGTAACATTAAATTTGATCCAGAGGAAAATAAATATTGGAAAGCAATATAGAGCCTTACTGCATTATATTCCATTATGTTTTGAATTGTGTTTTCCTTTATAAAAATAAAAACACGGCCACCATAAATTGATGCATAAAAGGCACAAATTGGTACATAAAAAGTCACCAGAATGCATGAAAGTGTATGATGCTTGAACGTTTAAAATTAAACCTATATGCCTTTGAAGCAGTTTCCCCTTTTCCCATATATTTATGCTAAGCTACGCTAAGCAGCTGTGGTGTCATATTTGGTCAAACTGATCCACAAGGGGCTGATGAGACAGAGAAGCATTGCTGCCACTTACTGTATGCTGTCTGAGCCTTTACAAAACTTCAGAAATACTTTGTAGACCTTTAGGCTACAGTTAAAACTTCACAGTTGTAATTCATTATGAACCGACATTGTTTCAATTAAACTATTCAGAGTTAAGCCCCTTTTAATCGCTGTGTTCATGTAGATGTGTAATATCTTTGGTTACCATCTCAACTGCTTGCTCATGCTGTGTAAAGATCAATCCATGTGCATAATATCAACACTATAACACTGTGACAAACAAGAGGAACAAAGATGTAAATATTCTGTATGGATAGCAGAATAATTAATTTTGAATTGGGGACAATAATAATGATATGAATACATAATAAAGATATGCTTCCCACATTGATTTTTATCCAAAAGGTATTTGTGTTGGCACAGACAGCAGCAGAGTGAGACCAGATACAAGGGCAAGGGAAGGGGGTTGGATCCATGTAATAATAATAATAATAATAAAATAAAAGTCCTTTATATTCTTATTTTGATATCATTGTTGTAAATACCTTTACTAAACTGACTAATAGCTGGTTTGACGTCCAATAAGTCTAACTCATGACCTCTAAATTGGTCATGCCCCTGCCTTTTCCCAGCCATAGCATGATCTGTGGATTTTAGATTTCGAGATTTTCAAGTCTCCCCAGATCATCATTCAGTCGTGGAAATCATCTTTTCTCCATTTAAGTCTCTTTGTGATGAACAACGTCCCCAGAATACCAGGAAATAGTTGTTAAAGTGCGTCATTGAAGTGAACCATTACAATCCAGGATATAAAAGATGTAACCACAAAGGAAAATCTGGTTGTTATATCATACTCTGACAAGGCAGAATTAGAATGAGATCATCCTTATTCAGCATCTGACAGCACTGGTAAGACCTTGACTCACAAATCACTTGTTGTGTGGCTGTTTTACAACAACTGTGTTTACCTTTCCAGGGCTACAATATTTGACCACGTAGAGCTGGCAGAGTACCTAATTTCTTTGGTAAATAAGGGACACACACATACACACACACACACACACACACACACACTCACACACACTGACTCATATGAACACACCCTGCAGCTGTTATGCACATTACATTTCCATCTTCAATATCAGGGCCTGTATTATCTTGCCAATAAATTACATTAAAGACAGGAAAACTGCATTTATTTCTATACTAGATATTCCAAATGTGCAAATTAAAGGGCAAATCAACAACTTTGGCATCTACGCCAAGGACTGCTTTCAATGTCCCTTGAAGATCATTTAGTGATTAGGTCATTTTACAATGTGTGTTCCCATTGCCACCACTAAACAATGTTTGCACTTAAATACACAACAATTAATACACCGCTATTTAGGTGCTACCCATTGCTTGTAGACCATCTGTCACCATCTGTTGCACTCCATTCACTGTTTCAACAGAACTGTGTTGTTAGGAAAAAGCTGGGTCCAGTTTTCCTGTCAGCTCATTCTGTTAGCAAACACGGCAACAGGAAATAAACTTTTACCCAATGAGCGTGTTTATCTCACAGAGAGTAAGAGTAAGAGAGACTGACGTCATTCGCCAAAGACCAGAGAATACATTTGCCTTTCAGCACTAGAATTAGAGATTTTGACTTGCTGTGTGGTTTTTACACTAACAAATAAGGCCACGACAGAGATAATAATTAGCCTATTTGATGTTAGTGTTTGTTTTTTTCAAAATGAGGACCAATTTGTGTCATTCATATTTTAATTGCTTTTGAAAATACAATGTTGCTTCAGTGTCGCCCCTTTCCTCTCATCTGGTGTTCCTATAACTGCATATGAATGAGATAAAAAATGTATTAATTTGTTTCACTGAACAGGATATATTCATGTTCATTTTTAGGACTCCCTGGCAGATTTATTATTATTATTATTATTATTATTATTATTATTATTATTATATTTTAGACAGAGGTGGTCAAAAGCAGTCTTCAATTCTAGTCTGCAATTCTTTTTGGCTGAAATGACATATTTGATCAGTTGTAGCTAGAAAAATAATTAAACTCAAGTTAGCTGGATGAGTTGGTTGAAAACACTGTCTCTGGCTGACATTTTAATGTTTCCATCTGACTCGTTTTAAAATGGGAAACTTGTAAAAGGGTGTTAAATATGCACTTAATGGCTACATGCATAAAATGAGGCTGAAGCTGAATTCCCCAGGCATAAAGTCAGCAATTTCATCAGAACAGTTGATGAATTATAGACTGTAGTCCTAATATTAGTATGATAAGGGAAAAATGTAAAATAAGACTGTCAGTTTATTTTAACATCAGCCAGTTCAACTGTTTGGCTTACAGTAGGTTTTCACTTTTACGAGGTTTTGAGGATGACGGCTAAACGATGTGTTACACTATCGTAGCGTAACACTATCTCAGGTAACATTAGCCGGGGTGGCAGGAGTGTGAATTTCCAACAAACTCAGGATTAATTAGCTGGACATGCTATTGCAACTTATGTTAGAGGAGACATACACAGGCAGCATGGGGGCCTAAGTTCGATTCCCAGCCGCGTCAGGGTCTTTCTGTGTGGAGTTCACCCATGTTCACCCTGTGTTTGTGTAGGTTTCCCCCACCATCAAAACATGTATAGGTAAATTATTTCAGTTGGTGTTCTTGACTGAGGATGGATCAAATGCAGAGAATGACTTAAATAAAGGATTTGTATGTTTGCCTCGTTACAGCAGCTAAGCTTAAAAATCTTCAACATCTAAAAACCTAAATCTAAAATGTATCCAATGTCTATTCATTTGATTATCCATGAACTTGTGCATGTACCACACAGCACGCCTCATGTTAAGATAAGATAATCCTTCATAAATACCTAACAGGGAAAATTTTAGTCACACTTGCACATTATGAGAAACTTCTGGTGTTTGTGCTTTTAAAATAGCAACCTCTTATTTCTATGTACAGTAAACCAGAGTACAATTCAAACTCCATGCAAACTCCATTCCAGTTTAAAAAACATGTGACATTTATATAGATGTTGCTAATTTTCCCATGGTCCTATTTGTTTGCAATAATTACATTAATGTGTGTTTAAATGAATGTGGTAGTTAATGAGCTGCACACATGGTGCATTGTCTCCTAGGGGGCAGGCCTTAATTGCATTGATTGTAAAGGAAACTCTCCCTTGCTGCTGGCTACGAGCTGTGGAGCATGGAGAACTGTGACTCTGCTACTGTCAAAAGGTGAGCTACCGTACTGTACTTCACCACCAGCAATGCTCATATTATTTTATAAAATGACCTGATAACGCAGGTTGTGCACACTCATGCATATGTTTATGTCTTTTAGGGGCAAATGTAAATGTGAAAGACAGATGCGGTTGTAACTTCCTTCACCTGGCCATTCTACAGCCTAAGGGTCTGAAAAACCTCCCACAAGAAGTGCTGCAGGTACCCTTCATCAGTGTTGCATGTTTGTGACTCATCAAATACACTGTATGCTGCTTAGACAAAGATGTCATTAAGATTGGAATCTAATTACTACTCTGTCCTTGATCAATTTTCCTTGAGCCTAGCTGCATGTATTCAAGGCCAGTTGAGGAAGTTTATTATACTCTCACTAAGCCAGATGACTCTTTAAAACATCGTAAGCTTTACCTAAAGCGACAATAAGCCACAGGGCAAGGCTAATATTGACACTGTGACTGGGATCTCTCTGTATCTGAGAGAATTGTTACACTACATTGTTATTTATATAATCTCAGGATTTGTGTGTGTGGGGGT